AAACTTTGACTAATATCGGTTTCACAGCACCAACCTTAGTACGGTAGTACCTTACCTGAAATTGCTGGAGTGAGCACACCATCTCCTATGACCATGCAAGCTCCTAATAATACCACCACTAGTAGGGCTGTCCGTAACCTTTTATGCTTCTCCAAAAATCTTTTTAATGGGGAAGAGGCTACAACCTGTGATGAGGGACCGTATTTGTAAGCTGTGAGCTCCTCATCGGCTGCTTGTTGGTTGGGAAGTAAACTAAACTTTGCATGGCGGCAAAGCAACGAGTAAAGAGCAAATGTCCCACCTGACATCAATTAGAATGAATATGACCCCGTAGAGACTCAATAAAAAGTAAAGTAAGAGAGTTCACACAAAGATCATATTCAAACTCCAAGTCTCACCACACCTTCACCATTATCGTCAGCACTCAATAGGATGAAGACGTACTTCAGCAAGGGTATCAGTGTAAGAGTCCAGAAAATTAAGGAAAATGCACCAAATATCACTTCCTCATTATTATGGTTCTGCAACTTCCCTATGAATGTGCTAGTATAAACATAGAGAGGAGAAGTACTCAGGTCCCCATAAACCACGCCAAGGCTTTGATAAGCAAGTATTAGATTTCTGGAGAGATTCACCCATGAAAGCTGCAAAGCAACAAGAGTTTAATTGGTTAGACTAGCTGGTATCAAATGAATCACATTCCAGCCCAGGGCAGAGGAGAAGAAATCCATATCTAAAATGATTTATGATTAAATCCTTAATTGGAGAACACAAACTATACTCATACGCCTACTAGTTGATATCAAAGTGATTGACTGAGATAGCATTCCATCAGTGTTCCTCCTGTTCAATACTGTATCCACTGATGACAGAAGTTACATGAATAACAAGGCCTACGCTGGTTTACAACTCAGAACAGAGTATATGCTTTACATATATTATTTATTTCAGGTTAAGGCTAGAAAGAAACACCAGTCCATGTCAGGAATGTAAAGCCACTCTACAAGTGCTGCTAGTACAAGCATACAAGAAAGGAGTCGGGGAGGAATAATAGTTCAATACACGAACCACGCTAGCTATTCAAGGGGAACAAGAGAGACAGAGAGAGAAGAAGTAACAAGTATGCATGAGCAATCGACCATCAAATTCAGAAGACTAAAAAATGATATCAAAGTCAAAATGAAGCAGGGTCAAACCCAAATAATATATAATGTTTAATTGTAAGAAGCGAACATCACCGGCCAGAGAAATAGAAAATAATAATTGTAATTTTTTAGAGGCCTCAGGCCAGGACAGAGAACACACAACAAGTTGACCAACAGAAAAGTATGTGTCACCAACCTACCATCTACAACTACAACTATAGCGAAGAATTGGAACTTGAAATTGAGGCAGAACCTATGCGGGAAACAGTAAGAATTCCTAAGATCTCTGAATCACAACTAGTTACTGGTTACAGAGAGGCAGCACATATTAAATAAGAAGAAATAAAAAATTTGTGGATCGAGCAGCGCCCAGTGGGACAGAAACAGAAACAGCAACAACAACAACAACAACAACAACAACAAAAAGAGAGATTTTGGCATGAAATGAAATGTTTGGATGTGGGAGATATATGTAGAGTAAAACTGAATGTAAAGAAAGCAATAAGTTGTAGGGAGAGAAGAGATAGATTGAACCTGAGGAGGAGGATTGCGGGAAGGCGTCGAAATTCCAGACTCGGGCTCCATTAGCTAATCTTATCTAATCTAATCTGAGATTATCTAAAAGCCTACCCTTCTTCAACTCAACAACTCTCCCTCAAGGCTCTCAAGGACCTCATCAGCTCAACACCTCCTCCCTTCGCAGCTCTCCTCTGTGTGTCTTTCTGTGCGTGTGTGCGTGCGTATGCGAGCCCTGGCTCTTTCAATCAAACGCTTATTAAAACTAAACTTAATAATCGCTAACTATTATTATATCTTATTTTTAATGTATCATTTATTTATTATATAGGTGAGGAGAAGATAGCATTTTTTTATTTAGATTTGAGTAAGAGCTATAGGTAATAGTAGAACCAGAAGAAGACGAAGAAGAAGAAGAAGACATGAGTTGAGTTCCTCGCTCCAATTCCCATCCAAATCCAAATTGCATCAATTATTATAACTAATCAAGCTTAAAATTTGGCATTCCTTTTTTCTCATATATTAGGGAGAGGTGAGGTGTGGTGTGGTCTCATTTGACATTTCCCTTTCCCACTCCCTCTGCGCCACCTATTTGTATTACTGCAAGTCTATTTAGGACGCGCGTTTGGTGCACGTATGTTTGTTTCTTTCACAAATCACACCAAATCAAATATCATCCACAGGAGAGAGACTTCCATGAAACGGGTGCTATTCTCGGTCGATAATGCTATAACATACGAGATAATATTTCTACATGACATAGTATTATTGATTCGGATAACACCGTTGCAACTAAGTTTTACCCAATCCACGGGCACACTTTCATGTTTGGGCTTCGGCCAGCCATGATATTCATCTTCATTTCATACCATACCCACCCAAAGAAAGAAAAGATAAATATATGATATGATATCATCCACAACGGCAGGAAGAGGGAAGGAAGGAGCTCGGCATCTGGGGATTGGGTCAAATCTTCTGTTCAACTCGTCATAATCATTCATAATTTATTTCAGTGATGGAATCATATTCCTCCGGATTTTGGATGTTATGTATCTTATCTATTCAGTATTTATTCACACCCCCAAATTCAACACGCACATTGATGATGATTTCTCTCTAGTAAAGGGAATTTTATTGTTACCCTTCAATTATTGGAAGGAAATGTTCATGTATTAACTCGAAACACCCACCCAACTTACCAAAATTAACCTTTAGTAATTGTCCACCCACCATTCTCAACACAACACATAAACTCCTCCCCAACATGTAAAATCCCCCATTGTGAATGGTGACGGGGCTAGAGAACACGATGGCCACGACAACTGAGCTCTCTCTCTCTCTCTCTCTCTCTCTCTCTCTCTCTCTCTAGAGAGAGTGCCCCTCTAACATCTACCAGGCACTCGAGACACGGACATGTGAGATATCATCAAAAAAACCACCACAGAGGGGGAAACCAAGAAACTTCAGTATTCGACAACAAGGTATCCAATATTTTAATCTTCGGCAAGAAGGTGATGCTTGGGTTGTAACTTGTACATTAATCAACTGTGAGATAAGAAGGTGTGGTGAAAAAAAAAATTAGTTTATAAATTATACGGCCCAATAATTATGTTTCATGTTAAAACAAAGGGGCTTTATAATATATAAGTACAAATTGGAGGATGGTCCAATGCCTCCAAATTTAGATAAATTGATCTAGTTATTGTTCAACAATGACATGCCAATAACTCTTATGTCATTCATTGAGAGTGATATTAAACAACTCTCGTGTTACCATTCAATAATGATATAAAAGTTATTTCATGTTACTGTCGGACAATAACCGGACCGATTTGTCCAATTTTGAAAATGTCGGATCATTTTAACATTTTGCGTTGTGTAAATGACTTTTAATTATTTTCTGTAAAAGAAATTAGTTTTTTCATATCAAACATTTTAGAAGACTGTCTTCAATAAACGAAGGCTGGCAATAACATTTATCATATAATAATTGGTTATTGATATATTCATGAATAGGTCCACATCACACCAATATTATACAGGTCCTATTTTCCCTTTTGTAATTATACGATGCCCACCACATTAACAACATCGATGGGTGGGGACTTGTTATTGACACATTTGTCCCTATTTTTCTAGGGTGTAGCAGGTGGTCTTTTAAGCAAATAGTAAATTGTTGCCTAGTTGAGCCTTACGATGAGAAATTTTGAGAAGTGACCAAAATTATAACATGTTACATTCCATATTGGTATTGCCTTCTTTTTTGCATTCCTCATTCATAAATAAATAAAGTCTAGAGTAATATATAGGTGATGACCTCATGGAAGGATGAATTGGGCAGATAGACATAGATGAGCGTGAGATGATTAGTTGGAACTATAACGTGGCCCCTCCCTCCCCTCCTAGAATTGTTTGATAAAAGAGAGAGAACACGTTTTGGACGCGGGAGAATCTGGTTGGTTGGTTGTATGTGGATTCCAGACACATTATAGGAGCGTGAAGTAGACACATAGGTCAAGTACGCACTTTGCACCAGCAAGAGAATTTCCAGGAAGAGGGAAGGAGCTGACAAAATTGAATTGTTTATGCCTATCCATCATTATCAGTTCAGTGCAGTTTGAGTTTGATACTTACTTGGATTCCCTTGTAATTAAATTCAATTTCAATTAATTACGCACACTATCTAAACGAGTAACGAGTGTTAGTTGAATCATCACAGGTGTTTGGTGTGCTACCAAATGATCTTTAGTTCAAACCTTTATGGTATCCGTGTATGTGAATTTTATCCCCTTCCAATTCCTAACCTTAGTAAAAAAGGAGTAACGGGTGATTGGCCAAAAACAAAACAAGTAACCAACGAGTCAAAGCCACTGGCAAATGGGCCTGACTCTCTTCTTTTCTTTCGGACTGATGTGCTGATGGCCCTATGTACACAAAATCTGTTGTAGAACTCGTCCTTGCCCAGATTGCAGGGTTCATTTATTCTTTGTAGGAAATGCAACCCATCAGCATATTATATAACTTCTAATCTTTGACTACTCTAGGCTAGCTTCACCTTCACTCAAGGTAACAACTGGTCCAGGCTCAGAAAGAGAAAAAAAAACTATGGCTCTGAATCTGAATCTGATCACTTCATAGGCTCTTAGTTGTTGGTCCATCTACCTCAAGAGTTGGTTCTATCCGATGATGATCATCAATTAGTCACCCATGATCATGAGGCTCTTTATAGGAGCTTCTGAAGCTAATGGTTAGTTGCAATAGTAACTTCAGAGAGAGAGAGAGAGAGAGAGAGAGAGAGAGAGAGAGCTTAAATACATATTAAGGTGATCAGGGATATCGAAATGTAGCTTACATTTATATATAAAATACATATTTTACATCAAGTTGAAGTTAGTTTGCATGCATCTACATATACTACATATAAGAAGAAAAAAAAGAAGAAGAATTTAAAAGCTGATAAAAATGAGATGGTTTGACCAAACATTTATGGAGTAGACTGAGATATTGAAGGGGCTACTGGCCTACACTACTGGCAATGGCATAGAGAGATGAGAGTTGAAGCCCGGCAGGAAGAAAGGATGTGATCATGATTCATGTGAGTAATTCATGTCAATGACTCAATGGCAAACCCCTTGAGAGCCAGGTGCCATGACAATGAACTGATATGACCAGTTGTTGACTAGTAGAAGAAGGCTTTATCTCTATGCAACAGTTTGAGGACACTATTTGACATTCAGCCACCACATGATGATCTGTCACAGCAGGAACACTAGGCATGGCATTGACATTGACATTGGCAGATGCCTCCCCTTTCTCTTCTCCTCCTATCTCAATTTTTCCACCCTCATCATCATCAGAGACTTCCATAACTCTCACAAACTCCTCCAATGCTCTACACATCCATTCGTACCGGCACAGTCTAAATGCCTCCTTTATGTTTAGCTATACATCATAATAGAGTAATTGAATAAACGTACACAAATTAAATCCCTGTGAAATGAATGCGTTCATCTAGAGTATAAGATAGATAGATGTCAGAAACTGTTAATTCCTCCCACTAACCCATTTTCTATCACGGTTTTGCTGCTCTGGCCAGCTCTCAAGCTCTTCAGTGACCTCTAATGCAAACATGTACCCTCTGCAGCCTCCTTCCAGGCTTTCTATTTTCTGGCTACTTTTGCTTCTGAACTCCCAGACTCCCAGAGGAGTTTCCTGAACAAATAGAAAGCCCCCGTGTAACGTGTTAGCTAATTGAAAAAACAAACAAATGGCGAATGAATAATATGTTAGTTCTCAACTTTAGGCTAGCACTATACTATATACGTTATCAGTGTTCCGTGTTTTTTTGACAGAACAGGCTAGCTAAGTTAAGTTATGCAAAAAAGAACAAATACTTAGATTAATGGAACGTACTCTTAGTGTTCCTTTCACCCCTGCTTCCTCAAAGGCTTCACGGCAAGCAGCTTCTAAGACAGTCTCATCATCCTCCCATCCACCCTGATCACAACAGAATAATATATAAAAACATGGGCATGAATGCTTTTCATGATAAAGAAACAAAACCAGCCAGCAGATCATGGGATGGGAAATTAAAGTACACGTACTTTTGGGAACACTCTGTCATCACGGTCTGGTGATGAAACCATAAGAACTTGTATCCTGTTTTCAATATCGCCGTTGTGATGATCTTCATCGTCTTCTGTTATCCGGTAAGGAATACATCTGTTGCATGCATATATGTACAAGGTACGTATATGAGTCATAATTCATATGAAGTAATAGTATAATAATACAGGCCATAGCTACAAGTACTAGCTAGAAGGCAATCAGTTGCAGCAGCCCAACACAAGCATGATACGTATGTACGCCTGCCTGCTTCTGTACATACAATTAGTTTAGACGAATGTCGAAATGCAGCCTAGGATCCAAGTATGGTTTTCTGTACGTATAAATACTTGTAGAAGATCCCAGTTCCTTCCGTTCCTTATACCATATACGTACCATTGCTGCTTAATTTTAATCTTCAGAGAATTTTTCGTTTAACTATAAGATAGATACTCTTACCGAGGCAGCATTTGGACTACAATGAGACTAAGATCCATCATCCATGACGTCTTTGTTTGGTCGGACTCTATCTAACATCCTTTTTCATATACTTAAATTACCTTTCACATGATTTTATTTGTGATCAACCACCAACCATAAACATCAAGCTTTCGCAGACAACATCATCTCTCTTTTTTATAATTAAAAAATAAAATTAAAGCAATGTGAATATATATGATCATAAATTCCCACCTAAAGCTGGCTGATCCTGGTGTCCTTTCCGAGGAAAGAAAGGGCAAGATAATGTAATGGATGATTATATACATGTAATTATCATAATGATTTAGGGATTAAGAATTCTATAAATGAGACAAAATAGATCACGCAAATCCAAAAACTTTATTTAAGAAATTGAAGTCAAGCTGAGAGGGATTGTTTTGATGTCATCTGTGTAAAGAATAAAATGCAACGCAATATTCTCATATGAGAAGAAGAAGACAATTAATTTACATCATAGAACTTGCCACCTGGAGATGCTTCTCCTCCTCCAGGCTCCTGCACAAAGTCAAGTATGCTAGT